GCTTTGTGCGCATGCGCCCGAATGACGTGTGGCTCCGCCTCTAGAAACTGAGCGAGGGTTTTACATAGTCACGCGAAATTTCAGTGGGGGATAAGATCTTGGCGCCAAAATCAAATCTCCCCCTACAGTTATTTACTGTATTCTCCACTTATTTTTCCCCCGGCGAGTTTTTCACAAGGACTGAATTCTTTTAGAAAAAGGGAAAAGAAAAAGTCATTTAAACTTTTAATTCTATTTCGTGTGTCGCTTAAATTATTCGAAATTAAATTTGGCAAGGTAATATAGAAGCCGATTTTTTTTTTCGAAAAATGCGATCCTGAAACATATTTGACGGTAAGTGGTGCAATCAGGATAGTTAGACACCACTTTGCCCTCATTAAATTTGTCTATCCCGTAAAAACATCACAAGTCCTGCTGAGAATCCCCCTTCCGCCTAAGTGAGGGAGATGTGCAGCAGATAGCAGATCTTGTCTTGTCCTGTGGGTACCCAGCCATATTCACGTTAGAAATTGTTCTTCATTCCCTGCAACATACCACGTAGGACTCACTACCTTTTTTGCAGGATTTGTGCATATTTTCCCCTCAATTTTCCCATCCTTAGTAAACAATTTGTTGAATTTTTTGCTATTTATATGTGACTTGCAATCGTTCACTGCATTCCCTCTCAAACCCAAGTACACTGATCTCTGACACATTATAGATCCATATTTCTCCTTGCATTATACTTCTTTCCAACATCTCAGCAAACCCTATTATTCCCAGTTAAGATGTCATCTATTTCCAAAGTACACATACATTTGTCCTCAACAAAACGTTGACACTTCAAAATCAATGTATTTATCCATAAATGCATTCAACAGCCACATGTACTGTTTCCTCTGTTGCTTACTCCGTACTCAGTGTTGAATCATTCACTAAGCATCCTATTTAGGCTCTTGCATACTCCATTTTTATCATAACACTCATCAAGTACAGCAGCCAATCCATACAAATGTGTAATCACCTTTGAATAAGTTCCTTGATCTTAGACTACAGAATTCATTGGATTTAACTCTCATGCATAAAACAGTAGCTTTAGGGAGGCTTTTGAATCATGCTTGTACATAGGATGTAATGATTAGAGGCTTAGATGGCTTTAAAAATTTTTAGGCAAATGTATCCAGCATGAATGTAATGTAAATTCTCCATGACTAGGGACAATCTACTTTGAAACCTTATGTGCTATAAATAAACAATGCTTTCAGGCTTTATTTGACAGTTTCTTGGAGATATTGCTGACCTTGAATCAAAAAAATGCAGGGTTGCATAGATTAAACAATCGATTTTTAACTCCAACTTTACAATGCTTACTTTGCAGTCAGTATCATTTAAGATATGGCATACACAATTTCTCATTTTAACCAAAATGGAGGCTGGGCTCTACAAAAGCTGATAATCTTGATTTTTTAAAAATCAAGAGAAACAGATGTCAAATCTCAAATGCCCTCTGGAAAGCTCAGTCTTCCAGAAGACAGCTAAAGTCAGGGCTAAAATAACTTCAAGTGGGAGGCCATTCCAGAGAGTAGGCACTGCACAGAAAAGCAGCATCTCTGTTTCAGTATCCCCACCTTCCAAAAGTGGTGAACTATTAGCTGTTTTTCATGGTATAATCAAATAGGTCAGGCCAATTTTAGTGGATGAAGAAAATTTGTGAAGAAAAGCTGGTGCCTAGCCATAAGGGTTTTACTGATTAACACCAGCACTCCCAAATCCCCATGAAGCCAATTCAGGGCTCATAGCACAAGAGTAATGGGTTCCCACTGGTGAACATACATAGGCCAGTGCAGTTTGGACCAACAAGGCTTCTGAGTGGCTTTAAAGGCAACCCCTTGTAGAGTGCATTTCAAGTCTAGTGAAGAGATGATGAGGGCATGAGTCACTGTAGCAAGACCCTCTCACCTTACATAGGGTTATAGCTGGTGCACCAGTTAAAACAATGTAAAGGCCCCCTGGCCACAGCTTCTATCTGCTGTTCAAGAAGGAGCTGCAAGTCATGGACCTGCCCCTTCAGAGGTAGTGCTTCCCCATCACAAGACACCACTGGAGCTACCCAGGAACCCCAATGAACAAATAGTAACACTGTCCTGCCACAATTCTGTCCCATCCAGACCCTCAGCCTCCAGACACCAAAATAAGACCTGAATAGCTTTACCAGCTTGGCCCAGGGTAGAGATGTAAAGCGGAGTATTATCAGCACACTGATGATACTGCATCCTGAACTGATGGATGACCTCACCAGTCATTTCATGTAGCTTTTAAACAGCAGAAGGGAGAGAACCAACCCATGCAGCACACTTCAAGGGAACAGCCACTGAACCAACCTCTCCTCTCCTACCACCACCACCTGGGACCAGCCACTGAGGAAGGAGCCCCTCCAAAACAGTACTCCCAGTTCCAAACTCTGAAAATCAGTCCAGAAGGATATAGTAGTCAATGCTATTGAAAACTGTAAGTCTAAAAGGACTAGGACAGGCGCATTACCTCATCCAGATCCCAACAAAGATCATCTGCTAGCAAGACTAAACTGTCTCTTGTCCCATGTCTAGGCCTGAATCCTGACCGAGAAGGCTCAGATACTCCGTTTCATCTATGGCACTCTATAGTATACTGTATGCACATACTATTTGTCCTCTTTTTTGATCACATGTTCCTTGTTTTTGCTCTGGAGAAATGATTTATCCAAAGTCCCTTTGTGAGTGCAATAGAGATGAATTGCTCTTCATATTTTCACCTAGGAGTTTTAAGTCTATATTTGTTATGATTTGTTTTTAAATGATTACCTGTTCTTGAGCTTTTGTAATAAAGGAATAAGTTGTCCATAGAAATACAGTGCTAGATCTGACCTCCTTTACTACATTATCTGCCATATATTTCAAGATTCCTACACTGGAGGTACTACAGAAAGCAAGCAATTTCTCTTGGATGCTCTAATTACTGAGCAAAGGTCAGGATTACTACAGCTTTAATATTCAATGGCTCTATAATTTTCCCCACTGAATCCTCCCAGTCTCCAAGCTTTCAAAATAAGAAGAGTTTTGATCATCAGTGCATTCCCAAAATGAGATCCTGGTTCAGAGAGAAGATCAGTGCAATCTACTGGAAAATTCTTCCATCTATATCCCAATGACATGAATGGGGCAGCCTTGTGGATCATGTTGTTTTGTTGCACAGTCTTTTGCTGTCACAAAGTTGCTTTTCGAGAGGCCAGCACAAGCTAGGACTGTCCTTGTACTACAATCTAGGAATTACCAAAAGGAAAACCATCCATTACATAACCAAACCACACCCAGATTCCCTTTTAGTGCTATTTCTCACGTACGTTACAAGTGAATGTCCAGAGATTTTAAAAAATATATTTTTGACAAATAAACAGGAAGAGGCATCTCTTGAACATGGGCACCCATGATTTTATACAGAAAAAACATAACAGCCACATGAACAGCTTTACACATGGATAAATATATTAGCAAAATAAATAGGTTTGAGCATGTCCCCATATTCAAACAATCTCTCTCTTAGACATAAATATTTGGTTTTGCATATGTATCTACATAAACATCATTTTCTCCCTTTAGGTTCATAAAAGTACCCAAGTGCCTGAAAAGTAGATTCAGAAAATTTAATTAAAAAGTACAAAAATAAATTCCTTATTCACATTTCAAAGGGTCTGAGGTTGCCAGGAGGAAGGAGCAGAACAACTGCAGCTGAAGAAGTTTGAAGGAAAAGGTGCTGAAAGGAAAAGAACTATTCAACATGTTCTCACTGACTCACTGTTTCCCTGTGGAGTAAGTTTTTTCATCCTTTATATGGCTTGTGCTTTGACTCCAACTGAAACAGAACTACAGCCAAACTGGTGCCTAGTCCTCAGATGTTTTCTGACGGATTTCAGAACATCTAAATGAGTGCTATTTTTGCTCCTGAAACATTTTCCAGTGCTTAAGTCTAAAAATACAAGGTTAATTCCAGTTTTTCTACTCTTTTATAGTTGCCATTAAATTGCTCCATTTGAGGTACTCCCAGCATACTAGAAATTGTGAATTGACCTGAAAAGACTAGTATTTTCCCCCAAAAGTGTAACTTTGAAGTGTGGGAGAGGAGTTGGGTACATGTCTTAAAGTCAGTGAGAATGAGATAACAGGACAGATTTTTTTCTGTATAATGTTCCTGGATTTTTTGAGTGGGGGGCGAGGGCTGAGGGGGAAGAATTTTGAATTTAGGATGCTCTCCCTGTTGGGTAATATGGTAGAAAACATCCCACAGAACTTCACCAATAAGGCAGTGGTAGCTCCATAGAACCCACCACCTATGACTTGGGGTGTCCCTTTACTTATGAAAAGACCTGGTTACTCTGTTCCTGTTCTGTACCCAAGGGGAACATAAATCTCTTCCAAAGCAACTTAAGTCTTTATCCTATGATACAATGCTTTCTTACCTATGGGACTTTTTAATACATTTTAGGGCTGAATCCCCTATTTCCCATAAACTTGATTAAATGTGTTTTCTTGCATTTACAGCTTTCTAACACCTACATGCCATGATCCCTCTTTATCCATGAGTGTGTCTCTAACTTCACATCCAATTTTTGGTTAACTATTCATCAAAGGATGTACAAAACCACCCAGCAGCAATTCCTGTGAATTTTCAGCATTTTTTTTTACCTGCATTAAGAACAAAAGCTTAGAATCAGCTAGACCACTGATTGGTCTTGTCAGTGTCATCTACATCAAACTCCTTCAACCTAGTGCCCTCTAGATGGTGTAGAACTATAATCACCAGAAGTCCCAGACATGCTATCATACTATCAGCCCAGGTAGCTCAGCAATCCTGATTTAAATCTTGGAAAGCACTACAGATCAGGGGCCTTACCCAGCTTATGCTGGAAATGCATGGTTTGAATTTGCCACCTTTTGCATGCAAAACATGTTCCCCCTCTTTCTACCTCCAGTTCATAGAAATCACAGCTGTGTCTAGCCTGATCTACACTTTCCTTACATTATTTTATCAAATGTGAAATGAATAAAAAATAATAAACTCCAAATATATATCTTGTGTTTCCATTAACCCTACAAAATTATAAAGATGTATCTCTGGCCAATTTGGTACACTTTCATTAGTTGCAATGCATTATGAGGAAAGGTGACAGTAATAAGCAGACACCTCTTAGTTTCCCTGCTTACCTCTCAAAAGGCCTGTAATCCCTTTTTAACCTTTGGCAGGTTCTCTAGAGAGGAATACAGTTTTTCATTTATGTCCCATTCAAAATCTTACCCAGAGGGTGAATGTCTTTGCAATGCTTCAGGAGTTAATGCTCTTCTATATTCAGTGAGATTGTGAGTATATCTAAAGCACAGATTTATATCATTCTTTATGCCAATTCAATTGACAGAGTTTCTCCCCAGAGAATTCAGGGACCATTAGTTTGGTAAGCATACTGATTATTCTCAGGCAGATTTAAGTCAGTAGTGTGGATGTAGACTGATCTGTACCTACAGATAAGTAAATATAAGATGCCAGAGTGTGTTCAGAATGTGTTCAGTAAGAAAAATATCCATAATTACATCTCTATTTTGCCACATGAGAGCACATTTACAACAGTACCATATTAACATCCCAAAGCTTGATGTTTGACTACTGGTGATATTTACCAATTGGTAACTTATCACAGCATGTATAACAACTTAGTAAGCAAGTTGCTATCCAATTATGCCTCAGGATGGTGTTTTATGCACACCAGTTACTAACTGCTTGTCTGTATTCACCCATAGCAATAAGAAGGCCTTGAGAAAAACAGGTACCTGAAAATATTAACTCTAATTCCACCAAGTTCAGCTCTTTGTCTTCCATATGTAAAGTGCAGCATGACTGTCCTCAGATTGGAATTGTTACCTATTCACAATTGGACACTGAGTAGTAGTAGTAGGGAGGAGGAGGAGGAGGAAATAATATTCACGTGGGGTATGCTGTGAAGTAGCAGAATGCTGGGGGTGAGGACGAAAAAGAAGGGTTTAAATCTCTGATCAGGGCTCCTCTGAGAAGAACTGAAATCTTGGGCCTATTATGGCAAAGTCACCAGGAAATGTCTGGGCATCCCTGTTGTTTTTTTTGGGGGGGGGTAGTTTGTTTATTTTTTGACAATCTAAAGAGCTAGGCACAGAGATTCTTGGTCCAAATTCAGCCTCTGAAAGCACTCTCCCCTCCATATCAGTGCCAATCTAGGGCTGAAATGCGTGTGAAGAACTGGGTTTCTGTAGTTAACAGAAGTTGCTAGTTTATGGCATCTTGAAATATTACAATCTACCATGTCTCAACTCAGTTTTCTAAATGATCTAAAATAAAATAACTAGCGCTATTACGTCTTTTTGCTCCTCAAGGATCAGGTGTATCAATTAGTGCGGCCAATAGCTGTAATTCACATGAAGCAGGTTTGGAATTCTCCCATGCTACTATCTGACATAGCAGACTGGTATTCAGAAGGAAGGAGGTGCGCACCTTCTAGATTTCTTGGCAAACTGAGCAATAACAACATTCCTATGAGACAGAACCAGAGTGATCTCCAATGTTCACTTAGTTGGGGATGGGGAAGAGACTTTGGATCTTACAAACTACATTAATTTTAAACCAAGGCCACCCACTGGAACATCAGAAGAAAACATTAGCAGAAGAATTGAATTATTTCTCTGCCTAATTTCAAACTGCATTGATGTCCTGCATAGTATCATATATGCTCTTGGAATGGGTTGAAAGTGTAGGATTGTTCCTGAACTCCATTTTGCAGTTAAGAAAAAAGATATCAATGAACCTTAGGTTGGTTTTTTTCCCCCTAGAAATTTTAAATGATCTCACTCCGCTCTCTTTAAGGAACAATATGAATAGTAAGGATCCTCTATTGAAACAAATGGAAACATCTTCAAATGGCAGCTTCCAAAAATAAATGCAAGTGACACTGGCATATAAGTTAGGTTCTGACAGGCAGGTGACCACTTGTGGGTTGAATTGTCTGGACAGAAAACTTAGTAAGGATTTAAGTACTGCATCATCAATAAAAGAGGCATGAAGAGTTTGTAAGAAAGCCCATTCTCATTGAGTTTCTGATCAGTTCTCTTCTCTTAGGCTGTCAGACAGTGAAGTTCACCTCACATCAAACTGAATGTTCATACACATTGGGGATATCTTCTGTAGATCCTGTAATTAAAAAAAAGCAACTAGATTGAGAATGGATCTCTTTTTAAGTTCATCAACTGCAACCTAAATTGATATTTAAGTCTTAAGTCTCAAGACCTTTAAGTGATATTAGATCTTCATTAGATTTGCTCTTACAATGAAGTTGCAAGGCAGATAAAATGGACACTGAAGACATGACATTAATGTCAACACTGTACTCATTTCATATTCCAATCCAACATATTCCAATCCATTTTCAGGCACAATTCAAAGCCATAAACTTTTTGAAACCTGGGAATCTTAAAGTTATTCCTTTTCTCTCCAATTTACTACTGTAAAGCTATCACCATTATCAGAACTAAGTTGGACTGTGAATAGCTATAAAGTTTGTTGATGGCAGTGTCCAAGCTTTAGGGCCATTCCTTATGACTCAGTTTAAAATCTATCCATCCATCTTTGAGACGGCAGAAAATTATACCGGTATTAATTAAAGTTTGAGTTTTGACACACTCCATTTCTGAATATCACTAATTACCAAGAAACCACCCACCAATTATAGCATTTTTGTCATTGGAATATGTTTTGACAGACAGCTAGACCTATCAAATGTTGATATTTAAATTTATATTGCGTTCTTGATACATAATTTTGTGTTCTTTGTTATATATTAATATATTGCAAGCCACTTTATACAGAAATGCTTATGGAGAAATTTTATACAGACAGTATGTTCACAGAAGAGGCAGAATTTCAGATGGAATAGCATAATTTGAGTTGGATGCTACTTCATAAATCGTTTAGTCCAATGCCCAACCAATGCAGATGAGACACCTCCATCTGTATCCATTGGAGCACATTTCCTTTATCAAACAATGCTTTAACAAAAAGCATTCCAGTTTGTAATATTACTTGAAATATTTGAAAGTGCTGCCAATGAAGAGCATGTTTAAGTCCTGACTCCTAGAAAGAAGTACAGGATCAGCAAAGCAGAGTCATGCTTGAGTTCCCATGAACTGCAGGAGTTGGTATCTTTGATCAAAAGTTCCCATCCCATCCATATTATAATGAAAAAAGAAATATATATTTTCAGATCTGTCATCGGCCATCTCACTGTGAAGTGACTCTGGGCGGGTTATATTTTAATATATTCCTTAAAACCAGGATTGTATTAAAGCCAACTAGCAAACTAGCTTCTATTCCCAGAATTCTATGGGGGAAGCTCTGACATACATTTTTAAGACAGCTGTTAAAAGTTTTCCAAAAGTACTGTCTACATACTGCAGGTGGAAAATAAAGGTGACATGATCCTGGAAAATAAAGATATATGAGACTCTTAAGGGTTCAAACTTACCCTGAAGGTTTTGCAGAACTCGATTACTGAGGTAAGAGCTTGTGTTGTTTCCTGTGGAATTCATCTCTGAACATTCTTCTGGAAATGTGGGTTCACAGTCCAATTGTCCCAGCCTGTCTCTCTTTTTCTGGGGTTCCATGATAAAACATGGAGTCAAGCATTTTGATACCTCCGGCAAGGCTGCAAAATTATGCACAGAGGAACCACTTACTAAAAGAGGCTGAATTTCTGGGGAACAGTGGTTTCTAGAACCAACAGGATGGCTAGCAATTCTGCATTCTGGGGTCATGCTGGAGTCCTCAGGAGAAGTCTCAAGAGGACACTTCCATCTCCTTCTACCTGGGTGGATTTGCACATGGTGTTTCTGAGTACCCCACAGTCCAATAGTTCCAGCTTGGCTACTGGCTTTCATGCTAATATCAGACCCATCTGCCAAATAAAGTTCAGTATGTCCTTGTCTAACTGAAGAAAGATCTAGGGATTGCATTTTTTCTGTCCTTTTTTGTACCGAGGTGCTTTGTGATCCCACCTTTGTCCTGGAATATTTCATCTTGCGTGGATTGGACTCTTGGCTTGACCTGTCATTTGGACAGTCTGAAGGTTTCCGCCCATAATGGTGATGCCTGTGGTGATGGTGATGATAGTGGACATGATTACTGGCTAGCTGTGCTCTACCTGTTACCACTGAATCTACTGAATGAGGCTGTGGATCCCTCCCAGATGAAGAAGGATCTTGTTTGTTCTCTGTGGTCAACTTCTCTGAGCCACAGAAGGCGAATGGATCATAATCGCTGCTCAGGGAGCTATGAAAAGTAGAGCAACTGCCATGGATAGCCTGAAGGCTGATGTCAGTGCAATTCAACATGGAGTCACTGGAGCTGCCATGGCAAGGGCCTGAACTGGAGTCACTACCAGGGCCATCAGGAAGGTATCCACTGGGCTCTGTAAGATAACTCTCTCCAGAACCACTACTATGGTGGTGATGATGCCTCCCATGACGAATTCCTCGGTGTAAAGGAACAGCATGATTAAGCTGAGCTGCAAGGGGAGCCCTGAGACCTTGGCAAGAGGGCTGGTGTTCAAGCAGACACAGCCTATGAGAGGGCAGGGTTGGCTCACACACTGGTGACTCCAGGTGATGCTGAGAAAGTAACAGGCTTCTGCTGAGAGGGGCTTGGTGGCCACACCAAGGCTCAAAGCCAATTGGCCTATAGGGCAAGTAATGCATAGTTCCAAAATCCAACTGGGAGAGTTCAGGAGAGTGGAAGAAAGGGTGGCCATGGGAACCCACTGAAGAGCAGTTCCTGGGGGGCATTTGAGGGACAGTCCGTGAGAAGTGGTACAAGGCATGCCCTGGTCGTTGCCGGAATAAATGAGGCCTCTGTCTAGATCCAGAATTGTGTTGATCCTCACGAGAATGCCTAGGTAAAATAGGGGGAATCCGATCTGGAAAAGAAAATTAATTTTGAGCAGAGATTCTAAACCCTAGTGAATCCTAATCACACAGTATGGTAACTCTAGAAAAAAAATCTTCTCTAGGACTAGCAAGCATCTTTTTTATCTAAATGGGTTTGCAATGTCTCAACACACAGAAGCAGGCACAGGGTCTCACTGTGCCTTGGTAATGACCAACATCTTTAACTTGGGCAGCCAGATTCTTTCCAGCCACTCTGTTTCTTGATGAACTAACTATTGCAGCAGTTTGACTGCAAAGTATCTGGAGACTCCAGTCTGAACTCAACACTAAAGTAATACAAACAAATGAAAGTTTATTCTGAGTCAGACTATTAGGCCATCAATCTTAATATGGTTCATTTTGCACTGATATGCAATGGCTCTCACAATTTCAGACAGGGGTCTCTCCCAGCCCTACCAAGAAATATTATAAGACTGTTAATCTGCCTCAGTGCCTGAATAAATGACTTACCTGATAAAGCAGTGGCAGACAATCAGCAAAGAACAAAGCTGCTCCATCAGTTTGGGAGCAGACAACTTCACAGGTATTTCAGCCTCCTTTATGGAAACTGGATGGCTTTTTCTTTTTTTTTATAGTTTTAGAAAAAAAGAAAAAGAAAAATCTGGAGTAGCCCAATCTAGGGTGGACCATTAGAATTGGGTGGGAGCCTTAATCCTTACCCCAACTCTTTTCTGCCCTATCCATGCATTCATGAGGGACTCAGAACCAAAACAAACAACCAAGATGGTGTAACTAGAGGAGCCCTATTTTTGCAGAGCCACTCTACCCTGTTGACCTAGCAAGTGGAACAGAGGCTTAATCCTATGTTAACCTGACTTTCCATTTGGTGTGGAGTGATGCTAAATTTGCAGTCTCAATCTTCCACCATCTTTTGACTGCTTTAACGCTCATCTGATATGTGGAAATCTCTTTTTGCCTTTCTTCATTTGATTTATAACTCTGTGGTGATCAATTATGAGTTTGAAATCAAGAAGGCAGAGAAAGCAAGAGTCACCCCCTCATCCAAATGACCTACGTCGTTTGGACCTAAGTACATTTAAAAGCCAAAATTATTTCTGATCCACAAGAGAGAGTTGCTAAGAAAGTAACAGACAGCTACATGGAGTTGCTTATCTACTTAAAAGCCCTTTCTCATGATTTACCGCCTTTTAGAAAGACTGAATTTGTGCAGATAAAAACAGCACTGGATGAGGTGAAACTAAAGGTTTTGAGGACAAGACAGAGAATTCTTTACATTAGAAAATGAAAATTAAAAGGCTAAATGTTGACTAATATGGAAAAAAGAATATAGCTTGAGAATTCTGATAAATATGCCACAGCTATTGAAACAGCATTGAAGTAAATAAAGATGTTCTAGATAACATGACCCATTTACAGGGTCTGCTTCATAGAATTTACAATTTTAAACATAGGGTATAATATTGAGCAAGATCAGTCTATAATAGTTTTTTATAGAGAAATTTACATGTGAGATTTTTTTCATTGCAGCCAGGATACAGTCTGGAAATTAGAACTGCTAATATGCACTAAGTAGAGACACCTAGTCCTATTGTGGTGAGATTTGTTTACAATCTACAATATCAGATCAAATCAAATTTAATTTACAATCTTAGATAAAAAAAATAGAGAACAGCAATACAATAAAAAATGAATCGAATTACTGTGCAACAGTAAAGCAGCTACCCTCACCTAGACTACATCTTATCTAACTGCTGGAAAGTTCTGCATGCTAATAATGCAAATTTAGCCACAGTGTATGTTGTTTTAGGATCTTTACCCAATAAGAGATATTGAACATGAAATTCATCAGGACACTCAAGGAATGTCTTAACTAGGGGCTCCACCACATAATTTCTAAGACCTCTATAAAAGTTGCAACATAGCAAGATATAAGCCAATAATTGAACAGCCCTAAGCCACATGGACAAACCCTTTTTACATAGACAATCTTCTGCTGATGGTAGAATATTAAACTGCAGCAATAAAAAGGCTCTTTGATATTTACAGATTGTTAAGTGATCTAAGTTCTTTGATGGTTTGAAGAAATACATACAATTTTCTAATACAATCCTCAAAGGTGGTTTATTGCATACAACTATCCTAAGGATCTTTTTATAAAAAATTAACATAGTCTGATCCTGTCCCAGGACCAGTAATGTCCCATGGGGGAATCCATAATGTTGCAGTTTTTCTTCAAAACTGTCTACTAATATAAACCCTCCCTTCAAAATGTTAACTTTAGTCAAAATCGAAAGAAGTCTACCAATATTTTATTCTTTAGTAAGTCCTCGGCTCCTTTTCAGCTTGGGATCCCCAGTTTAGCAGGGTTGACACCAGGGTTTGAGTCCTATAAAGCAGCTGTGCCAACATCTTGGCTTCAAATAATTTGAGTGCTGTTGGGATATACCATTCCTCTGCATAGAAGAAGGGTTTCTGGGCATTCAAAGTGGATAGAGCAATGTGGGCATTGCAAAATGTGGGT